TCTGAGAAGGAATTTTTACCAAGTTCCGCCCGTGCTGCCCCCCGCCCCGGCCGCAGCTACGCCCCGTCCCCGCGGTTTGCCCGGGACGAGGGGCCATCGGGCCCCGCGGCTCTCACAAGTAGTTGTAACCTCAGAGGAGCCACGGGCTGTTCCCCCCACCCGTGCTCGGTTCCTCGCTGCGTTATAAACGCTCACCGGGATCGCTGACGTCCCTGGGTGGTGACGTAGCACCGGTTCACGCTGAGCTTTAAGGCTCCTGCATGTCATGTACGAAGAAAGCAACTCATCTCCTGCTGATGGTCTAAACTATTTTGTAACCGCTTACTTTTAAAATCCACCATTGCATCAACAGCTAAGTAGTTCCAATAAATCAAGATCAATCAGCAAAGATACTTTAAATTCAGGAAATAAAATTTAAACTGCATATTTATTACTTATGAACTACCAACCATACTACTTAGCATTATCAAGTAAGCAAGGTACTTTATTTTTCTTTTTTTGTACCCTAATGGATGTACTTCTATGGGTAATATATAGCTTTTGGTTTTTTTTATACCAGCCAAGTACAGCTTTTCAATGCTAAGCTTGTTAAGGGATACGCAAAATGGATTTTAAATAAGGTAAGAGCAAGCCAAAGTCCCTTTCTGCGTTGTTTTCATTTCACTTGCACCATGTTGTAGAACTCATCCCAATGCAGCAGGCCCAAAGACAACTTCCTGTATCACCTAACCCCAAGATAATGCTCACCATAACTTTTATATAAAAATTCTCCATAAACACCGTTACTCAGCCAAAGCGTGCCCATGAACAGCCTGCGTGTTCCTCTCACCATCCCCATGCACGTGTTGTTCACAGTGAAGAACAACGCTCAGTCCTGAACTGGAATGCAGAGGTTCATCTATGAATTTCTAAATCGCTTTGAGCAACCTTTCTAATATTTATTTTGGAAAAAAACCCAAAAACCAACAACCCACCACAAAAGACTAAGGAAGTGCCAGTCTGGAAAAAAGACAAAAGAGAACAACCTTAACCTAACTAGGTTAAACTTACAGTAAAATGGCCCCAAAGTTCCCCTTGGTCTGAGAAACTGTCCTGCGTGCGCAGGGTACAGAAGAGGCAGAGCGAGCTGGCCAGCTTCTGATAGTGTCTCCAGCTTTGCAAACCACAGTCTTTGACATCTTCAGCTATTAATTTGTCTAATCACTGCGTAGTCTCTAGACTACACGACCAATGCCAGACAGAAGGCCAACAGCAGATTTGCAGTACTGAACTCCTGGCAGTTAAGTTCTGGATTATACCAGCACGTCGTCGGTTAGGTGGTTTTTCCACAGAAGAAAAAAAGGTATTAGCTCCATGCAGAAAAGTGAGCTGCTAACAAAGCACCCCACGCAAAAGGGGGCAGGACCCCCGATCTGCTCTGTGCTCTGCAGGTCCTAGAAGATGCTTCGGTACCGAACTGGTTTCTGCAGATTTGATCTCAGGCCAGCTTGGACCCAAAGAGGTCAGCTTGCAGGGAATTTAACACAGAGTAGTGCAAAACAATACATTTTATTTGTTCACAGTTAAACACAAGCAACTGCCTTGACATTTTAGAACATTCTAATAAGGACAGCAAAACCTTCTTTTGGTTTAAGTTCTCTTTAGCTTACGATTGTACCATTTCCCCGTATTTCATATTTATGGCATTTAATGTGGATTGTTTAACATGCTTACAAAAAGCGAGGCAGGGAACAGATTAACTCGACAAAGACAGCAATTTTAGATTTAACTAAAAGCAGTCAGTTAAAAAAATCTGTTTCCACTTCACTGATGGGACCCCTTCAAACAAACTGCAAGTTAACTACATACAGCAGATCCATGATTTTTAGACTTACAAAAAAATTGCAAAATTTGTTCCTCCATAATCTTTGTGGTCCATAAACAAACCTAAAGTGGTTTCCATTACTATCCCGGTGCTAAAATCCTTTTTAAAAGAAGAAAAAAAGCCACCTTATCAATGAGCTTGCATTACCGCCAGGGCATTTTTGTAACCGACAACAAAAACCGCCTCTCCTCAGAACAAGTGAAGTCAGCATATAAGCAAGATTCCTCTTCGGGCTCGGCAAAGCAGAAGGATGGGCGGATGAACTCCTCCAACACAACAGCATCCCACGGCCGAGCCAGCCCTTCCAGGGCAATGTGCAAACCGTTCACTCCTGGGGCTGGGACCTGGTGGGGCAAGGGGCAGGAAACCTCCACATCTTACCGAAACATACGCTACCACATTTGCTACCACTAAGTCTTAGAAAGCCTATAGACATGTCGACAAAACCAGTCTGTCACTTACAACCACCTCTCTATTTTCTATTCCATGCAGATTCAAGCTTTGACAAAACCACTGAAGTTCACCTTTACTTTCAGCGTTAGGACTGACCAACCGAAAGGACACAGAGAATAATTTAGACAGGCAGAAATGTATTTAGACCCTAGGTATTATGGAAGAAGCGGAAACGGGAGGAAAAGCACTGTCAGGCACAGGTTAGCATACTGCCAGCCGCTGTGACAGAGTCCTGTTCCTATTGGGGTTAGGAAGGGATTTGAACTACAAGTGCAAGTGTACCTGGACCTGATGTACGTGTGAGACTATTCTTACACAGCAGCTGTCACCCACAGAATGTTGAAGAAAAAGAGGCCACGTGTGATGCAGGGTAACTGTGAAGCCCGATACGTCTAAGTACGCCTGGACCTAGACATATCTAACGTTTAAAACAAGTACAGTGCCTTCCTAACAGCGGGTTCTGCTCTGTCACGAAGGAGATTGAGTCTGACCACTGACAAACCCTGATCCCACAATCCTCCTTCACAGAAGGCTCATCATTGACTAAAACATGATTAACATGGAAAGGCTTCACAACAGAATTCCGATTCTCAGTTTGGGCAGGCTTCCTCCTCAGCCTTGTCTAAGGAAATGGGATGCGGGTGAGGGGAGATACCTAGAGCTGAACTGACACTGCTGAGCTGAAAAATGTGCTGCAGTCTGAGCAGAACAGCACTCAAAAGGAAACCCTACTCTAAATCAAGCCTGAAAACGTACTCCCAGGAAGAACGAAGCCAATTTCTTGGACTCAAAACACAGCGGCCTTGCTCAGACTGGGAACAAAGACCAGAACTACGAAGGAGGGTCAGGCAGCACAAGTATTTCCCTGATCAGAGAAACAAATGTTCTTAAGCTTGCAATTCTACATATGTATTCTGCATGCTCTCCCTACTTGAGTAAAACTTCCTTGTCCTTCTCCCACCCCAACTGCTTTCCCATACGAACCAGTCTGAGGTCAGTACCAGTCTGTCAGGCAAACACTTAATATCCCAAGAAGATCAGAGGCTAGTGTTTTAACAAGTCTTCAGCATATACTGTCTCTTCTGCATTACAAGCTCCAGTTTCTTATTAAATGTCTGTTCAAATGTAACTTTCCAGGAAATGTTAAGGACAATATAAACAATGAGCATGAATTAGGGTAAATGAATCGTTTTGCAGAGGTACACTGTTCTTTGAACATTTAGGTATTCAATCAGAGTCCAACTTAATGAAAACTGGGCTCTGAGGGATGTGGGACAGTGGAGAGGCAAAAGAGAGACCTTTAGATGAATGCACTAGAAATTCTAGTGCTGCTTCTTTCCAGAATGAAAGCAACCAGAGTCACCCAGACAGGCAGCACAATTAACTGCTCTAAAGTGGAAGCTTGCAAGGAAATACAAAGCATTCATAGTAGACTCACAAATGTTAATTTGGCCTCATATTGCACTCAAGTTCATAAACGCAGCCACTCACTGAGGACAGGGAGAAAGGGAAAAGATACTTGCAAATGCTAACAGTTGTCCCTTCAAATTAGTACACGCTGCTAAGGACTGAATTTGAGAAAGAAGCAAGAGTTAGGCTGGGCTAATTGAAATCAATTCCAGACCCAAAAATCCACTTTGCATTCATTCAGCAGCCGCCTTCCATTTCTGGACATCAATCCTATTCCGCTGCATGAGCTAGCTGCTCAGACCAAAGAAACATAAAAGCTTTTAGTTAAACTTGCATTCACGCCTCCTGTTCTATGCCAAGAATATGAAAATAACACTGATTGACTATCTTCCTTTTTAACTGTGGTCATGATGAGTTTCATTGTAGTCCATGATATGAAGCTGTCCAACACTGCTTTCCTGGATCTTAGGCGAGAGGCTAAGGTTATCGGGGCTTGGAGGGGCCTTTGTCTCCATGCTTGGATCTTTACAGAGTTCAGTCTTTAGAGCATCAGAAAGCCTGTTGATGGTTACACCCTCCTCATCACACTGGCTCTCACTCTTGTTGCGAAATAATTCTCGTGCCTTCATTCCAAGGAAGCTCTTGGAGCTGGGGAGTGAACCTACAGTCAGTGGGACAGTAGTCGAGGGCTCCAGCAACACAGATGTCTCCCAGCGACTGCTGAATCTCTGGTTCTGGGGTTTTTCTGGGGTGGAGACCTCACTGCTGCTGCCACCCTTACTGCTACTACTACCTCGAGTGCTGGGAGGTTTGGTCTCTCCGTTTCTACCAATTGTTTCTTCACTGTATCCCGCCACAGTATCTTCATTGCCACAATCCAGCCTGTTTTGGGAACAGAGGGGATACAGTGTCAAAGAAATGGCAGCAACTGTTTACAATGGACAGTGAAATGCTGGGGAAAGCAGGTTACTTTGATTCCTTTCCATTTCTGCTACTGCAGATGTACTCCAACAGTTTTCCTTTCAGTTTTGTAACAAAGCAGAAGTAACAGAGGGTAAAACAGAAAAGTGCCAGCATTCAGCTTTGCAACATCCAGTGCTTTAAAACCAAAGCTGACAATAATCCCAAAGTAGAATGGAACCAGATCCTGACCTCTTAAGGTAAAGGAAGAGATGTGAACATCTTCCTAGGATTGTGGATCTTTCTTTTACCTAACCCAACCAAGTGATTGCCACAAATCTGCTGGCAGTGCAAGAAATTATCCTGATGCTGTAGCAGAATTTGGTGTAGAGAATAAAGGCATGATCTGAGGCAAGTACAGCACTACCCAGACCTTTAGGTAGACATACGTAAAACAACTACTTAACAATAGTGTAACAATTTGTGGATTAAAGAGACAAACCAGAGGTTTCTCTCAAACTTTTAGTAACAGTTCAGCTATCTTAAAAGTACTTCATGAGCATTTCCAGTCTTGTCGTCACCTCTCAGTAACCTGGGTAGAGTCCTGAAATAAATTCAGTCTGTAAAAGGCAGGGGGGGCAAAGAGCAACAGAAATATTTTGAGATGATGCATCTAAGTGCTAGGAATTCCACAAGGACATCGACTTCCAAGGAGGTGGTCATGAGTCCAGCATATTTTACAGCATCACCCTTACCTTTCTTCTGCTGCTTCAGCTGCTTCTGTTTTCTCATCTTCGAGTTTTTTCAGTAGGCTGCTCTTCTCTAGCCGTCCAAACAGATCCAAGATCTCCAGCTCAAATGCCTGTGTGATTCTTTTCTGGGCCTTGTACCTACTTTCTACCGCTTGCAGCTGACCTCTGAAGAGGAAGAGAAACCAAAATCCATTGGGTCCAGTGTGTCCAGACTCTGCCTCAACTATGACAGTGCACATGGCAATACATAGCTAAAATTCTACACAGGAAACCCCTACCTTGCTTGGATTTTGACATCTTCCAGGTATTTCTTTTGCTCCAGGAAGAGGTGGTCCTTTTTAGCAAGCTGAGATTCCAGTTCAGCTATCCGTTTCTGGGAAGCATCAAGCCTTTGGCTTTGCTGTTGAACACACAATTTTGCTTTCTCTAGTTCTTTCCGAAAAGCAGCGTGCAACATTTCAACCTCCTCAAAGGAAAGAACACAATGTTAAAGTATAATTTGATCGTGTGTTATTTTTATTAATATTTAGATGTGTTTCTGATACTATAAATAGGTACATTTTTAAGCAAGATGGAATAAAAGAAGCTTTTCTAAAAACAGATATAGAAAACTGGATACTCTGAGGATGTACACTATTAAGTTACTGTAAAAATAACTCTACATCACTGGAATTTATTAGCACATTAGCATTCCTTACGAAAAACTCTTTTCAGCAAAACAAACTTGCCAGTTCTGCACTGGATTAGAATAGACAAACTCCACTTTAAAACAATTTTTGCAACATGACCTTCATTAAATACCAGTAAAAGACTTTCTTTTTGGCTTATTATTCACCTTCTTTAATTACTTGCTGTCACGCAGAAACAGTTATATTGTTGTGCAATTTACTTGCTTCTAATTAAAAAAAGGTTTCTTTGAAGTCAGGAAGTAAAACCATATGAACCACAGAAGTTTTAGTAAAGTTAATACTAACTCTTAATAGGAAAATGACTGAGAAGAGCAGGACTGCTTGTTTTAAAACAGCACCTCACAAAAATCTGTAAAATCCTGGTTAAGATACTTCTACAAATTCTAGCACTACTACCCTACGTTATACACTTTCACAAATGTAAGAGCCCAATGTCACTTTACCAGCAATAGTCTGCTGCCAACTACATTAAGAGCACAGCAAGTCTTGGCCTTTGGCAAGAAAAAATTGCTAAGAATTTACATTAGGTGGCTAAAACTGACTTGAGGTGTAACATAACATCCCCCTCTTAACTTTCGGGCACAGGGCACCGAATATATTCCATAAACCTACAGCACACAAAAATATCTGAACGGAAGATTAAATATGAAATCCAAGCCCTGAAAACCAATTTCACACCAAAGTGATGTTATGAGGCATTTCCTTCATTCTGAACACAAGGTTGAGGTCATCATCGAGCTGTTCTCAAGTGAAGCCTTCCCCAAAAGGCCTCCTCTGCAACCCTGTCATCGTACCTTTGTAGTGTCTGTGTGCTTGTGCTGCAGCTGCTCCAGGTACAACTCATTCACCTCTCCAAGAACCAGAAGTTGCCTGTTCAAGAACTCCATCTGCTGTTGCACTGATTCACTGTTGGAAAGCTTTAAAGAGAAATTAACAGAATCAAACACTGGAATGAACAGTTCAGC